TAAAATATTATTTAACATAAGTAAAGATTTTGAATATTATTTACTGATTTTTTAAAATTTAAAAATTTTATTTGAACTTAAACCTATTTATCTTTAGAGGTGATTTTTAACACTTTATTTTTAATTGATATTCCTCTTTTCTTTTGTGGTGTATAAAACTCGAAACGCATTTTTTTTGAAATATTTTTATTAGAACAATAGATAGTTAGTTGTTTAGAAAAATAAAAATAAAATTTTTAATTTTAATTTTAAAATTTAAAATTTAAAAGTAATAAATATTAATTTGACTAAAGTTTTTTTAGTATTTTTTAAAAATCTAATTCCTAAGCAGAAAACATAGAGAAAAAAGAAAAAAAAAAAGAAAAAAAAAAGAGAGATTCGATGGGAATCCAAGATTGAGAAAGATAAACTTTTCTAAAAGAGAACATGAAAAGGAAGAGGGAGCGAGGCATTAAAGACTTCGAGCTGTCCCCTTGTTCCCACTGTCCTAAGGGTAATTTTCACTGGTCCTTTTTTTTATGTATGGTCTTCCATTAAGTCATTATTAAATCTTTCGCTAAGTTTTTCTTTTAATTTTATAATATTGTACCATTATTGATCACCTTATAATAATAAATTAATTTTTACACTTTTGTAAAGCATCTTAGTGAGAAAATTGCACCAACCTCTCTTTTAATTGGTTTCAACTTGCCTACCCAATTCGAACACTGTAATACCCTTACACTGATTGTACCCTTTCGGATCATTTCACATATATTCATTTCACATGCCATGTCGCCTAGCATCTTCTAGGAAACATCCAAACTTTATCTAAAATATTATTTAATATAAGTAAAAATTTTGAATATTATTTATTATTATTATTTTTTTGAACAATGTTGTTATGAGACGGGATAAAATCCACCTAAAAAAGAAAAAAGTGCACTTCAAAATGGTCAAAAATTACAGGGCCAGGTGCTTTGAATATTGTTTATTAATTTTTTAAAAGTTCAAAATTTTTATTTGAAATTAAACCCTTTTATTTTTGGAGGTGATTTTTAACACTTTATTTTTAATGGATATTCCTCATTTCGTTTGCTGTGTCCAAGATTCCAAAGGCATTTTTTTAAAATA